ATTATTCCTCAACTTTCATGTGTTAATTATAAAGACGGAAACTTGTGACCGTCTATTGGAACGTTATTAACGCTCCTAGATCATCAACGATAAATGTGTAGGTACTTATCAAGATATATGATCGGGTAACAATTAAGGAACTTTATTCTTCTTCTCAAGGTTACTCTCCCGTCTGAGGTTGGACATTGTCAAGTCAATTCTAATTTTAGAGGCTGCCACTCTGACGAGCGAATTGGTGCTGACGCCGAACAATTCTTTAACCAGGAGTGCTGCCTTCTACCGACACTTCGTTTTCCATCGATTTTGCCCTGAATGATAAGCTGGAGTAATTTATACTTAATGTTCCTCATTACGCGGTCAAAGTATAACATCTTCCTACGGTTAATGGTGTTCATAAGCCTTTTCAAAGTTTGTGACATTATATATTATTTGTGACAAATTATGAATCACATACTTCTTTGAAACAATGGTAAACTATAGTAACTTTCAATTAGAATCTTAACCAAGGTAACTATAACGGAAAACCATCCAAATGTAAGTTTACAATCTACAAACTAATATATAGAAAGTATAATATTATTAATACATGTATACCTACTTCAAGTGGACTATAAAAAGACGTCAAACTATAATTAACGAACTTCATATAGCGACAGGTTTTAGTTCACTTTATTTATCTCAATAAGTAGTCAATATTTTTACTAGAATAAGTAAATATTTCGGAATATAGTCAACTACAGCATGACCTCACATGAAATACTTATATACATATGATATGTAGGTTCGTATATATTTTCCTAACGTTAAAGCTGAATTTAGAAACAATTTCTTGGAACTCTCGACTCATGTAAGTACGCAATTTCCTCACATAATTTCCTGTTTGTATACAATTTAATTTCCGTTTCAAAAACAATGTAGGAGAATTGGGAGTTTTTATCACAATCGGGTTTTAATTACGCTGGGGTTCAACTATTAATTGTGATAACTCGGAAACTGGTAAATTTCTGAACCGGTTTGGTTTACACCCGAACGCATGATTGCAGTTTGGATTTCGGTTATCGGTATTTTAATCGATTATGTAATTACCCGTTTCTCACAAGTTCGCTCGCTACTGATGATATAAACTGGTTAATTTGAGATTTCGGAAAATGGCGTGACTAACGTGATGGACTTGATGAACAAAGCCGACACAATAAACAACGGACATCACAAACGTGAAAGATTGTAACATGCTAAATTTTGCGGACTTTTTAATAAAGGGAGGTTTTTTTAATTTCCAAATATTTGCGTGTATATTCGTATCAGATAATCAGAAACTCAATTATGATTTAATATTTTTGGGGGGTTAGCACTCATAGAGAGGGTCGTAGCTGACTATGCCATAAGAACGATACCTAAATCGAATAAAAAAACACACAACGTTAAATCTACCATGAGGGTTGTAACCGTTCTTACGACTGCACCTCTCCATCTATCTTCTTTTCATTCATTCACTACATGAACAAATGAAGAGAGAGAGAGAGAGTGACGAGCGTTCGACCGCAAAAAATATGTAGCGGTCTCTTTTTTCACCCCTCCCTCGTTCAAGCACGCATGAGTGCGTGAAAGAAAATTTAACAATGACAGCGGCGGCAGACGTCGAGTTAAAATGAGATTTTTAGGTGCAGTATCGGTTAAAATTATTTTAAATCGTTAATCATATAATCGGTTAATCAATGCTCAATAAATTAAAATTTAATTTCTAACTAGTGCACGATTAAAATTTAATTTCTTTTTCTTTTTCAAACCGGTTCCAAGCGTTTAGACGTCATGGCAACTTATCTTTAGAAGAGTTTGAAGTTCTTTTCGGGAGTGTTTTTGGTGAAAAACTTTCAGCATGAATATCTCTAGGTAATTAATTTCTGTATATATGCGTATACCCGTACATATGCGGCGCGTACGTTCATATAGCTTGACTGCTGCGCTGGTACAGTCTATGTTAAAAAATGGGAAGTGGACTAATATGAAAAGGAATGTCTGTAGAGGGACGGATCGGCAGGTTAAAGGAGTACTGAAAAACTGAATTATACTACATTTACCCTAGAGGTGGATTTCGAGCTCGTGTGTTGTCCATAGCAGCGCTCTTCCTCAACTTCCAGCAGACATCTTAATTAGGGATCTCCGACAAATGCAGTGGAACGCGTGGCGATTCCGTTGGCGCGGTGGCGGTCACAGCAGACTATCAGTTACGATGATGATCGCTTGATTTATCACTGAACAGTGTTTAAGTACCAATAAACTCGATTCAGGGGCAGTTTCCGATTCGCAACGAGTAAGTGCTGGAATAACCTACCCTTCCAAAAATATACCAAACCGCTATATTCTTTCAAAAAAAGTTTAAACAATGGCTCCTGTCCGTACACAAATCAAGTAGCAATTGGTCGGTGGTTAAATCCACAAGCGACACTAAACAAATAAAAATTTAGAATGTTTTCTATTTTTAATTACAATTTTTTTAATTATTATAAATTTTACATATAGTGCAGCAACAGACAGCCTCTATTCATTGCTTGGTGTTTAGTATACACTCCGCTTGCCAGTCTGATGCAGCAAGCGAATAATAGCTTTAAAGTTAAGCCTGAAAATTAGCAATGCTGAGTCTCCATCCTTTTTGTCCACTTTAGATACTTTTCTTTTGTTTTAATTGTTCGCTTATTTTTGTTTATGTATTTTGTGGATAAATAAATGTCTTTGTCATATTGATAATCCAGTTCAATGAAAGTGGCTACTATTATCAATTAAATATCTTACCGGGCTCTTGCTTATCAATTCAATCACAAGTGGTCTGTTCCCATTTCTTTGATATCGGCCTATTCTGTATGTTTCTTCTATGTATCCGTTTAAGTCCACATGTACCAAATCTTGGAATATTCTTTGTATCCTATCATATAGATCACATTCTGATTCTCTATAATATTCTTCTTAGCCATATAATACGAATTTCTTACATTCGGTTTCAGTTTTTTTTGTTTTCGCTGATGGGTGTAGTTCTTGTTTCTATATTTTTAATTTCCTTCTTGAACAGATCGTTTTCTTTTTGGAGTATATTTATTTTCGTATTAAGTTATTGTATTTCCAGTATTCTAATCTCATTTTGCTCGCTTAAACAATCTGTATCCTGTTTAATTTCCCCTATTAATAACTTCATTGCTACCTGTATCTCCGTCTGTATTGTGATCCGCAGCTGAGTTATAATATTCTTATTATTTTCGTGGAGCCTTTGTACTATAATTTCACTTATAATGCAAGGATAATTCAGCTTGGCTGCCTGATAATTCAGATGTCAGAGAATTTGGTTCCAGACAAATGGTGTCGCCTAGATTGGATATGTCTCCAGAACTGAGCGTATCATGGTCCTGTTGGGGAGCCACACATTTCCTAAGTGTTACATTATCTATTTCTTGCGGTTATGTTCTGGTCTGTCGCCTTCACCGGTGTATTTAAATTTCCGGTCTTTGGAATCTTGAAGTAGCAAGCTTGACACCGCCATTTTTCTTTATGTTCTGATGTCATGGTGTTATGAAAGCGTTGACATTGGCGCAGTCTAAGTGACACAGTGACAGTATTCCATCCTCTAAGCAGTATGCGCACGTAATTTATTACGTAATTAATTTATTAATTTTTCTTCTTCGGATTTTTCATGGCATCCAGCGCACAATGAAGACATTTTGTATTATTGCTATATCTGTACTATCCTTTATTTAGTAACCACAAATCACCGCAATTGTATGTACTGTGTGTTCAAATTTACCCCAAAAATATTTGTATTATTTTTAATGGCAACACTGATGAGATGTCATTTGAAATTTATGCTTGCCAATTGATTTTGACAAATAAAATTATTCGGAATCTGAAGGTACTTGGATATCCGCAAGTGACAGTACAACAAAAGAGGCTATAAAAATTCTCATTTAGCTTAACCGTTTTCTCAGTGAAATTTCTTTAATTTGTAGGATGATTAATCAGCTTCAAGTAAACACCAATCACAAAACAATTCTTATAGCTTAACTAATTTTTAGCGATCAAAAACTACGGAGACAAGTCAAATGCGTCCGAATCGGGTTTGTAGAACATCTCGTATAACTCTTTATCATTTTAGCGAACTGCTTTTTTTGTAGACAATATTCTAGATGCTTACCCTTATCCTAGACAGTATTATGTTTCTAGCTTGGAAATACAACACACAAATATTCGTGCAGTACAGCTTTGTGACAATTATTTTATTCATGGAAACTGGTTATTATAATCCGATAAGAAGTAATTTCTTGATCGAGTGGTATTTATCACTGCAACAGGATAATTCACGGTGATGTTGACTAAGAGCCTTAACGTTGACACTGACTTATTAGAGGATTATGAAAAGAAGAAAAATGACAATCGCGTTTTTCACCTTCATAGTAATACCTATTGTTAAGGACGCTTAAGGAATTCTGTTTAGTTTCTGTTTAGGGAAATATCTTCAAATGTGTTAAAAATTTCGGACTCTCTTACTAATGTACTATTTAAGTATACTATGTATCGTCGAAGTGATCATTGTAAAATGTATATGGTTGCCGTAGCAATATGCATAAATACTGAAAAGCGCGTGGCCAAAATAGTTTCGGTAACAACACGCACTGCTATTATTGCATATTGTTGTATACATAGATATACATCTATGGTTGTTTATGAGAGTTCTGTTTCTCTATCTCCAAAAAATGCCGCCGTCCAGTTTTTTGTTTGCACAACCCGACAAGTACTACGTGAATATTAGACATTATGGGTCATAGGTAAACATAAAAACACAAAAATGTGCCATTCCCTTTAGGTGCTTGTTAGAAAAAAGTAGAAATTGCTGACAAGCACTAAAACTAAACTCTAGTTAAAACTAACTCATAATAATAGATAACTTACTACACTACAACGTGAAATCCAATTTTTTTTCAAAACAATGTACAGACAACATTTTTTTTTTGTTACAGATTCGAAATGCTGGAAAACGGACAGTCGTCTTGCGCAACATCGTAAACATTAAACAAGAACATTAAGATTAACGCAATAAATATTCTTCATCAAGATGGCGTTTACGATACGTAAGTTTTATCACCAATAATATACTGAATAAGGTGTTGTTAAGGCAACTTTTCAGACATCCGCTTACATATATTAAGGCGACTTTACCACACAGATTAAAAATAAATAAATGCTACGAGTAAACGAATAAAGTTTTGTGTCAGTAGAGCTCTTTGTGAAGGAGTTCGTGCTGGGAAGTACTGCCACCTTACCTATTTCTGCCGCCAAGCAGTAATGTGAGCATTACTGCGTTCCGGTTTTGAAGGGTTAAGGGTGCTGGTGAAATTACAGGCACATGAAACTTATCAACTTATGTCTCAAGGTGGCAGTGCCACTCAGGTCTATATATTTTAAAGCTCTGATTGGCACTACAATTTCTAAACACCCGGGCAAAAAATCATTCCCTCAGTATAATAAAGTCACATGTGATCATGCTGTAAAAGTGTTATCATGTGATCATTTTTATGTGAAAGTCATAAAAATAATGCAAATGTAGTTCAATAACAATAATATACATAACATGTGAAATTTTGTGACTTTTCTATTTAAGTATAAAAAAGTTATCGACTAATTTTGTTCGTAGTATCTTTAAGCCTCTTTCCCAAAAAATTGTCATTTTACAGAAGCTGACTTACAATAATTTATCTCTCATGCAGTATTTAATTACAAATAAATAAATGCAATTACATAGATCTGCCTGCCACGTATAACAAAACTAATAATTCTCGTGATAGGTTAAATAAAAAAATAAACTTTTTGTAGATTCTCACAATTTGAAGACAAAAACGCTTCTAATGATCTTACAGGGCTTCAAGCCGACGCCGACGTTTCATGTAAAAAATATTGTAAAAGATAGAAATATTCTATTGCTTTAAGTTATTACCTAAATAAAAGAAAGTATAAAATTCATAAAAATTACAACGTTCTCAGAAAAGAATTACTTCACTATACTTTAATACAGTATAGAATACCTGAAAGACTGCAGTTGTCATGAGACTGAGATGGCGGGATTTCTCATTTTCACAAAACAAAAACGTAAGCGCGCTTTTATTGCTGTTCCTAATGACTCTTAGACAAAGAAATCAAAATGTACTTACTACCTTTTTTACACAAGGTTGGGACACAATATGTCCCTTGTACGTGTAACTTCAGGGAATGTTGTCAATGAAACGTTGTATAGAGCATGAAAGGGCCGTCCGAGTAACTTTGTTAGCTAACCAAACAACGACAGATCCCTTCAGGACAAGTTGGCCAAATTATTCAAATAAACTCACTCAAGAATTTCCTCAATAGCCTAAATCCACTTTGATTAAAGGTGTTCTTACACTGTTTCGTCCAATTTGTTTTATCAACGTCACGGTGGAAATGCCTGAAATTCTGCTATCTTTTCACATTAAATCCTTAATAAGTATATGACATGAAACGAGCGCAGGAACCGCGTTCTTTAATAACTTATTACTAAGGGAGCGATGTAATAAATCGTAATTTTCAACGAAATTAATTGCTGTAAGGAAGGGTTTGTGAAGGTAAGTAATCAATTCAACGTCTTTGAATTTTGATTTTTTTAACAATTATAAGTGTTACACACCAACTCTCATCACTCGTCTCTGTCAAAGACACGTACTAATCAATCGTGAACAAAGCTGCTTAGATCATCCCGTCACCTTTTATGCAATGTATCGGCGGCCGTCCTCTGAAATTTACTCTGTAATATCTAATTCGGGCCCATCTGTCCACTTGTTATTACTGACATTCCCTGTCCATTCACTTCTTTACGGTTTATCATTTCACGTGGGAACCACGCGAGTTCAGGAACGCTGTAGTTAATGCTATTGACATGAAATTGCTATTGACATTAATGAACATGTGTTTCATTAATAAGGTTATTTCAAAATAGCGAGTAGGTTTAAAAAACACCTGCTCATAAGTTTTAGTAATAGACTAGAGTTGGCAAACAAGCACGTTAGTCTTAAAAATGCCAAATTTTGTTCCGAAGTCCATACAATAACATGTAACAAAACTTAGCTTTCACATAAACAGGGTTAAAAAAACGGGAACTATAAGAGCAAGAAAGATAGTCATTTAATTATTCTATTCATAGGTCGTATGTACACGCGCACTGGTGTCGTGGTGATGGTGGTTGTTGGTGCCGGCGGCGCTTCGGCGCGTGTCGCCGGCAAAGTTGGCGGCTACTCTAACAAAATGGGAGGTATGTATCTTACTTAGGCGTATGTAAGCAATATATAATACCTATATTCTGTACATTTAAAAAACTTACAAAAAGATTAGGGCTAAAATAAAAATCGTTACTGTTTAAGTCTAATTTACTTACACATAAGGCAAACGATAAACTTCCACTGCATTCGATACTTATGTCAAAAGATATGATGGAACTCCCACTGCATATACTGACAAAGTAAAAAATCTAGGTCTAGTAATGGACTGCACGTTGTCTTGGACATCTCATGTCAACGAGGTTAGCACTTCTCATTTCACTGTCTCAAACGACTTCAATACTTTCTCCCTTTTCTTACTTACTCCCCTTACTCGACTATACCGACTTTTGTTATTTAGATGTGACCGAAGAGCTTATGAATAAACTAGAGCGCCGACAAAACTTGGCTATCCGATTTATTTTCGGTCTCCGTAAGTTTGACCGTGTTTCCGAATTTCGCGCTCAATTATAATGGCTCCCAATTCGCCTTCGCCGTGATGTGCATATCCTGTCCGCCCTTTTTAATATACTTCATGACGCCAACTGCCCTTGCTATCTTCGCTGCCAGTTCCAGTTACTACCCCCTCCCATCCGTTCAAGGCGTTCGTGCATCACTAAGATGCTTGTTCGTCCTAACTGTAAAACAAATTTCTTTTTTAGCTCCTTTTTTTCTCGTGCAACGCAGTTGTGGAACCAACTTCCTTCCCATATCCAGCCTAGCCCGTCTATCGCTTCTTTCAAGAAAACGTTGAAAGCACACTTTCTTGCTGATTCTCGATCTTAGTAATTATCTTATTGTATTTTTTTACATACTTATTATGTATATATGTGTAGCTATATATATATTTTACACTATTTGCATATTGATGCTATTTATTATTATTCATTATGCAAGGAACGGTATTATTATTATTTTTTATTTGTGTGCTTTATTATATTTCTTCCGCACTCTCTCTTGCACGCTATTGCCCGCTTATAACCTTAGCTCTCACTGCCCTGGGTTGCTGGAAGAGATCTCTTTTAGAGATAAGTCACGTTTACTCACTTTCTGTTAATCTAATATTTCTTTTGTATTTTATTTGGTGCAATAAAGAATATAATATGTACAAATCCACAAAAAAATGATAATATTTACTAAAAATTAAAATTCTTTTTGTGATAAGACTAAATTAGTATTCGAAAACATGTCCCAGTTTTTGCTGGAGTACACCATAATATGCTATTGAGTGAATACGGAAGTCGTAGCAGAGTATGAAAGACGAGATTTATTATACTTTAGCCAATTCGATGTAGAATAAATATCAACAAACAAAAACATAAGGTTTTTTAGGGTTTTCACCTCAGACTGTTATTCAGTTACCACAATTGCAATATTTTCTCCGAAATTTGACTAGGCTATTGATAATACTAATCTTGAAGTCATATGTGTGATGAATTTCGTTCAATACAAGTTTCTTTAGTGATTAGAAGTGATTTGAAACTAACATTAAAATTACCAGTAGTCAATTGTTTATAAAACTCTGTCAACCCTAATGATTCTCTGATTTGAAGGGAGAGATTGCAAACATTTAAGTTCAATAAGTAATTCAAGTTCAGAATCGGAAATTGATGTTGGATGAAATATGTAGTAAATATGAATTATTTATTTCAATTTCAACGACCTAATGTTACAATAAAAGCTTAGATACTAGAAACTAAAACTAGACCTAAAAGAATAAAATTGGCTCAACGCGGCAAGGTGCCTAAGATGCTGGCAGCGTTGTAGTAAATTAATACAAAATAAAATCTAACAATTTTGTTTCTTTTTCTCTTGACTAGGTAAGTATTACTTCTACGTAACCAAATTATCTACTTAGCTATTTAAATTCCATACACGAGCAGCCTGTGTATCCGAAAATACTGAGCATTGACAAAAGAAATGTTCTTTTCACCTGCTATCATTGGTTGCCTAGCAACATTATAATAATATACCAATACCTTATAATAATAATCACATTTTTCTTTTTCATTTTGTGACAATCCTTGCATATCTGCGTATGACAACGTTACACGGGCGACACAGTGTCACTGAACGTCAAAGGCGTTGCGCTACTGTAGGGAAGTTATTGTATTGTAATACTGTGACGACGTCAATCTCCTTTTGTGCTTACTTTTTAGTAAAGCTTTTAGTAGAAAGACTCATGCTCCAAATATATAAGTACCTATAGCAAGAAAAAATGAGTAAATCTTTTTCAGTTAAGATAATTTGTGAGAAGAAAAACTTGAAATAACTTTAAATGAACATTATACATATCGGTCCTTCCTACCTATAGAATCGTAACCCCAAATTGTCAACTTTGTAAGGCTATGTTGAAAGGACTAAAATGATCATAATATAGGAAATGAAACTATTTTTCCGGATTTAAATCGCGTATATTTGTTTTTTCAAAAAAACCGACGTTTCGGGCCCTTTACAGGTCCCATGGTCACGGTTGACTTGTAAAGAGCCCGAAACGTCGGTTTGTTTGAAAAAACAAATATACGTGATTTAAATCCGGAAAAATAGTTTCATTTCCTATGTGTAACAATCGCGAAAACCTAAGAACTCGATATGATCATAATACCTGCAATTCTTAACAAGTTTAGGTACTGCAATTAAATTAGATACATAAGACAAACTTTATTTTTCAAGCTTTTAATTTTACTGCTCAATATGTATAATAGACTTACAATAAAATTCTTTATAAAAATGCATCTATTATTGTGGCTTACGATAGATAACGCAGGAGGAGTCGATATAAACTATGTGATTAATATTTCATAACACACACATGGGAGCTTGGATACTGAATAATGTAAGTTTAAAGCCTCGCCATGCATTACCGGAGGCACTGATAAATCAATTTCCTCCTTTATATTTCCGCGTTGTACACTCAATTTCTGTTCGATTTATTGCACAGACTGGAAAGCAATCAAATTATATTACACTCACCCATCTTTACCCTTTGAAAGTTCATTAGACGCGTAGCATATAACCCTTCACAATGTAAGTAGGTCTTCAATTGTCAAGTTTAATCCTACTACAACGTTCGTGTGTCGAATTACCTGAATGTACTCTTGGGAGCTAGCAAGCGCAAAGAAAAACTCCTCTACTTTTATAATACTAAAGAACGCTACACCGGGTATAACGGTTTTTATTAAAAGAATATAAAATAGAAGGAATATTATTGCTCGTTTGAATCAGTAATATTAATGGTAAGAACTTTAATTGGATTTCGAATTAGGTCATTATTTTGTATGAGTTTAGGATTATTTAGCGCTACTTGACAAAAGAAAAGTATATTTCATAAGAACATACATATTTCAACGTGTCCGAATGTTATATTGCTGTATATACTTCCACAAGTGTAAATCCTACTAATTTACAAGGCGAGGCGAGTCTTTTTCCTAAAATTGAAATGTGTATAGAAATCGTACAAACGTGTCGTTTATTGTTAAGTACTAAACAAGGCTTTGACACTTGCAATTCATTTCAGTTTAGTTTAAATTGTTTTATCGACGATTTTTCTGATTTTGCCTTATAGTGATATGTGTATTTATGACGCGATAGCGTTCCAAATCGGTATTCACATGTGTACTTATCTAACTTTCAAAGCTATATTATTTCATGATTACAAATTGCATGCTCTCTCTGATAGATAGATCCATCTGTATGCTCGAACAATACACCTATAATATCGACGGCGACATAGTAAACTTCGCGAAATATATAGAAACGTGTCAGCCGTGACCATGGATTATGTAAAGGGCCCGAAACGTTAGGTTGTGCGAAAAAAAAACAAATACATGCGATTTAGATCCGAAAAAATTGTTTTATTTCTAATATGTAACAATCGCGAAAACCTTAGAACACGAAATATAAAAAAATGTAATCCGCAATGATATTTTTATGAAATGAAATGAAATTAAATTAAATATATTTATTCGCGGCAAACACGGTACAAAAGATATTACGAGTAAAAAGTGTAGTCGTACCGTACAAAACGCAAATATTAAAATTAGATTGAAGTTTCAAATTCAAATTCAAATTCAAAATAATCTTTATTTCATAGGTAATCATTATTACACTTGAAATCGTCACAATGGTTAAACTCTACCGCTCATTCGTAAGGCATTTTTTTTTTATTCCCCTGAGAAGAATGAGCAAGAAACTCTAGGGGTTGCTTTTTGTAAATAGCATTTACAATATTTTTTTTTTATTTCAAACATCAGAGATCGAGACTACCTCCATGAGCTAAACGGGTTACTACCACGGATTTTTGTCATCCAAGTACGCAGAAGTTGTATAATAACCTTTAGTATAAAGTTTTTGTTTCACTATAGTTTTAAACCTCGTGAAAGGCAAATTTTGTATATCAACCGGAATCATGTTATAGAAGCGTATACATTGCCCCTTAAATGATTTTTTGACTTTGTGAAGACGACTATCAAGAAAAGCTAGTTTATTTCTATTCCTCGTATTAATGTTATGTCTGTCACTATTTTTCATAAATAAATTACTATTCCTTTTAACATAAATTACATTTTCATAAATGTACTGTGAGGCTAGTGTAAGGATGTTAATTTCCTTAAACTTATCTCTCAAAGATACTTTGGGGCCCAGATTGTAAATTGCCCTAACTGCACGTTTCTGCAGGACAAAGATTCTATTGATATCGGCGGCATTACCCCAAAGCAAAATGCCGTATGTCATTAGACTGTGAAAGTAGCTGAAGTAAACCAATCTAGCGGTTTCGACGTCTGAAAGTTTCCTTATTTTTTTAATCGCGTACACTGCAGAGCCGAGCCCTTTTGATAACTTACTTATATGGGGTCATTATTAAATAATACTTATTAATGAAAATTAATTTGCCAAATAAACAATGTCAAATAAAATAATGAAACAATGCCAATAAAGCTTAGAGGATGGAAAAAAAGATAAAAGAAAGGAGCTGCCCTAACCTTAGGCTGGAAACCAAAGGACATTTAATATCATATACAAATCAGTCGGTATGTGTATATGATGCATTTAGACGTTGAAAACATAAACATTTTATTGTCTTTGTTTAACTACTGCGTGCCGTCGTAAGCCAAAAGAGATAGGACATTGATTTACGTCAAACACGGGAATCGAAAATACGTAACGTCATCTTAAATGCCAACTGTTCTCATTTTAACATTTTTGGAGTAATCCGTATCCGGTTGTCAAAGGGAAGTACATGAGAAGTCAAAACCAATGTTTGGCCAAAAGGTTTATTGAATTATTCGCATGAATTGTAATAAATTTGGACAAAAAAAAATTTGGACAAAAATAAATTGACAATGAGAACAAATAAGTATTGATTAAAATGCGTCGCTGCGGCATTAAGGGGTGCGGCAGTAGAAAAGGCGGAAATCAACCGAATGTTACATTACACCGGCACGTGTAATTTTTTTGTCTATAAATCACACAATAGCCCAAATATCTAATGTAACTAGACTCATTTATGTAGTTTATTCATAACTCTTGCCGAATTTTGCTTTGGTTACTTTAGATTGCCCGTTTGTTACTATATTTTCAAAATTGTTGATAATGATTATTTTGAGATAGTGTTGTTCTTGTAAGCAGATATATTATCGATATTCTGTTACTAAAACAATTCACTACGAGGTTTTAATTTTTCCATTATTATTATTTTCATTTTTAAAGTTTACCTACAAATGAAAAAAAAAGAAAGAATGGTTGGAAATTATAGGATTGCCGAACATAAACATTGGAACATAATCACCTTAGTTTGTTCGCTCATTTTGAAGAGTCAAATTTTAATAGAACTTTGAATGTAACTAGATTACATGATAATGCAATTCCATCGTCGTATTTATTGGTAATTAATTTTATATTTAATTTTGAGTAAACAAGAGACATTCTAAGCATTCTCAATTCCTTAAAACTATCCACTCGTTTCCGATTTTTCCCCACTGACAACTCTAACATTATATATCATATATTAGATACACTGACGTAATAATTATAGGCGCCCAATAATAAATAGCAGCAGCAATGTAATTGATAACTGACAGCGACATACATGTGGGCGGCTACACAAAACCCATCTACAATGGCCGTTTGTAATGCTCTTTTTGAAACTTGTCGAGCGTGTAGACAGCAGCATTAGCTGTATATTAATTTGCTGCGCTCGCGTTGGCCTAGGTTCGACTATTATGTATTGCAAGAATACTTGTTTACTTTACAGCCAACAGTACAGCCAAATACTTCTAGAATGGTAATTGAAGTGCAGAATATGCAGACAACAAATTCAAAATCTTATATCTATCATCCCGGATATTGCCATATGACAATAAATATTGATCTACTTTAATTATACATTTTAATCATACTTTCATTACAGTAAACTATACAAATTACAAACATAACAAAAAAAAACAGTTTCAACATTCAAGGCATACATTTGCATGTCGATATTGACTTATCGATGATTATGGTACAACACTAAAAAAATCCGTAGGGACGTTTATTTCGTAGATAGGGCAGCTCCTTTCCAGTATTTTTTTTCATCCTTTAAGGCCCTAATTACGGAATGAACGTGCATACATAAACAAAAATTGAGCGAACACATGGCGGATTTCTTTAGTGTGGTACCATAATATATCGATAAGTCATTATCGACATGCAAACATTTAATTAAAGTAGATCAATATTCCATTTGGGAATATTTTAGGTTATATGGGAATATCCGGGAGTGTCACATGCAATTTTGAATTTATTGTTTTGCGTTTAGAAATACTCAAATATTACGAAAAGTGAATTTGCACAGATAAAATGTAATTTGAGAGTATATAAAAAAAGAGAAAACTTTAAAATATAAATCTCGAGATCTCCTATACATTTCCAACCTCACGATTCATATTTTCATAGAGAAATTTTTAAACAGTTTCCAAATAGTGTAAGCTTTTTGTATTTATGCATTAGTATACAATTAATATCAGTGACTGATTTAAGTGAATCTTTAATACTTCCATTTAATATTGGAAATAAATGAAAGTAGTAATATTATCAATAATAATAATATTATTATCATACATTTATTTACTTAAAACATGGTATAACAGGAGATGTAACAGGAGACAGTGTTAGTATAAACATGTTTCGCATTTATTAAATAGCATGCAAATATCTGATTATAAGATCTGATTATGCAATGTCAATTGACTACTATTGGCCGAGCGTCATTGATTTGTGCAGAAAAATCGACACTTCTCCGAAGTGAGACAAGTAGCCGAATAGGCGAGCGACTGCGAGTTGTGACAAGATACGTCAAACGAGCTCTATACACGTTAGCGCTCGCCTTCACTCGGTCAGCTAGGCGAGAGACACCGAACGATGGCAAGGCAAGGCAAATAGGCTGTCTATACGTTGGTATTGGCCTTCACCCGGCAACGTGGTCATTGTATTGCCAGCTTTATAAAATATGAATTTTTAGTAGTTAGAGTTGTCAGTGGGAAAAAATCGGAAACGAGTGGATAATTTTGTTTTGCAGGAACTGAGAATGCCTAGTAAATGAGTCTTGTTTAATCTAAATGAAATATAAAATTATTTAGCGATAAACCTAATGATGGTATTGCATGTAATCTGACTAGATTATGTCAAAGTTATGTTGAAATTTGACTCCTAAAAATGAAGCGAATAAATGAAGATGGTCTTTGATTCAATGTTTATATTCGGCACTCGTATGATTTCCAACATTGACTTACAATTATATGGACGTCGGGTCCGCGCTAAAAAGTGTCCGAACTTATAGGGCGTTAAATTGTATACAGAGCGTCATTCATGCTTTAGTCTTCGTTTGTTCGACTGACAGCGAAGCAAGCAAAATTAGACAGTACTGCGATGACATTACAATTTAAATTCAACGTTTTAGCTTTTTCATATTCCTTTACATGTCACTACGTTTAAATAGGTTGACATGGGACATTTTTTTCGTAGTTTTTGTATGAGACCCGTCGTCCATTTATTTGTAATTTCCAACCATTCTTTTTTCTTTTTTGATTTGTAGGTAAACTTGAAATAGTAAAAAGAATAACAATAAAATAATAAAAACCTCGTAGTGAATTATTTTAATAACAGACTATCGCAATGTGTGCGCTTCCAAGAACAACACTATATAAAAATAATCTTTTACCAACAATCATCAAAATACATACAAATACAAACAAACAGGCAATCTGAAGAAACCAAAGCAAAATTTAGCAAGATTTATGAATAAACTTCTTAAATATGGCTATTTCTTTTGGCTTAAGACGGCACGCAATAGTTAAACAAAGACAATTCAAGTGTCGAAATGCATCATATACATATGTCTGATTTATATATGTCAACATAACATGTTCTTTCAATAGAAGAAATTCTTCACTGACACTGGCGACAATTGGCATAATTTTTTAAAAAAGAAGGAGGTTCGAGGAGACCGTATTTTTTTCTATGTATGTTACGCGATAACTCTGGCATTCGTGAACCGTTTTTGATGATTGTTTTTTGTTGGAAAAGAGGGTACCTCAGTATTGGTTCCATTTAAATTTTAAGGAAACATTCCACCTCTGAGGGCGGCAAACTAGGGGATGAATTCTGTTCACGCACTTTTCGGTAACCGATTTCAATAAAACTCGGCAAATAGATATAATTTTTTGAGATTGTTTTTTTTTTAATTAAAAAGTTACAATTATTACAATATTTTATTAAAACTACCCAGACACTGGCAGAATTGTCCTCAATTGGATAGAGGCCAAAACCTTCAAAAATAAGATAATGCCAATAAAGTAACAACAATAAAACATAAATAATATCAAAGAAGTACGAACAGCAGAAATACAAGCAAAATATCAATTTCTTTTCATTTAAAACATCCTTTGATGTCAAAATGTTCCTTTTTAAATATGTTTAACTGTAAGTCTGCGATAGCTGCTGGCAAAACATTATCTTTGTGGACATATTACGGTAATTCCTAGAAAAACAAGTAGTGCTATGGGAAAGGCCAGGCAAGCGGTTTGGATATCTAGTTAAAAAAGTACATGTATATGTCACGTCACAAAAGCAGTCTACACGATTCTAGGCGGCCCTACCCTAGATATAGCTCTGGCACTTTTTCTGGATAAGAAATTATTTAGCTCTACACAGTTTCCCCAGATGGCAAGCTAGAGCAAACAAATTCATGGTAGGCCATCATGGCAGTCTTCATAAGTGCGTTAGACGGTGAAAAGCAAATACACATCGATTCACCTTTGCACATACTGAATCAACCTGTAGTTTCCACGTCAGTTGAGAGTTTGAGAGTCTAATACTATGCCGAGAAAATTACATGAATTATAGAATAATTAAAATTTAAATTCTACTTTTTAAAGGAATACGTATTATGTGCTACAGATACTACTTGAACTAATCAAGAGCTTTTGTTTCTGTGTTTAGATCATTAACGTGAAAAGTGTGTCAGCTTGTGTAAACCACTTTCTCTGTCTCTCTCGTTGTTTGAACTTTATAAATAACCGCACATTTGCGAATTCCGTAACTGAATGTTTCAGCTCCCCGAAGGGTATTTGGTTTATTTGGACAAATTTTCCCTTTTCGTTTAGAAACACTAGGAGTAATTATGAGAACATCTCAATTATTCATTTACTTTGCTTATCACTTGAGCTAATCGTCTTTGCCTACGAATTTAATTTACATGAGACTATGTAATCGTATTATTTTAGGAAGCCATTCACGTTAATAGCATAATAAGAAAATCAAATCAATTATTTTCGGATCAATTGTTGGCAGTCAAGAAACTCGCTTGTATTTTTCGGGCGTTTTACCCTCGCAACTCGGAAAAAGTGTAGCTATTTGTTACCTTCACGAGAAAACACTATTTGTTTTTATTTTTACAGGGAAGTCGACGAGCGGCATCAACGAGGAGATAATTTGGATCAGTATTAGCATGGCCATTGCTATAGCTGTTCTTATAGCTATTGCTTTGTGCTATATTCTGAAGGAGAAATGCACTAAACGGCAGTCGTATAAGGAGCATTCATGACGATACAGACAGGAGTTCGCCAAACACGCGCTCGCGGACTCCTTCGCAGATTTTCCACCTTACAGCTTATATCCTCAATATTCGCCAGATGGGAAGGAGTATTTCTACAACTTTCATCGATTTTCGTACGTGAGGAATACCTATAAGCTGCCTCCAAAAGACTATCCTCTGAAAGAGAAAGAGGAGATTTATATCAACGCGTAGTTTCGATACATTTTTGTAGATTAAAACTTGCATTCTGCTACACCACAAAGCAGAAATAACGAAACTGATTTAAAATATTAATTAGTCACTTTTAACTTCATGTTCAGAGAATACTATCCTGTAATGCATGTATATATTATACATGTTGGGTAAAATACTATAGCTGTGTACGTACTTATAAATAACATACTGCCGTCTTTGGATAAAAAGGATTAATGTGTATTGCACTGTCCAGTTTCAACTACAAAGACAATAGCAATTAAATTTCAAAGACATGTAGATATGTATAGCTTAGCACGAATACTTGTTTGTTTTAGGGAAAACATCGAATGTAGCGTGTGTGGTATTTAAAACTAAATAAATATTTTAAAGAAAAGACACCAAAGCGAAAGGAACTAGAATTGGATTCTATATAACTGTGATAGAAAGTGAGTTTGAGGAAAATTGAAATAGCTTCTTTACTTTTGTCAAGCGTTACTACAAATAACGTTAATACAAACGCGCGTTTCAGAAACGCGCGTTTGTATTGCTGTTTAAGTCGCGATTGTGTAACCGCTCTAAGCCAGTGAACATATTTAGTAAAGAACAGCGTAGAGTTTACGTGATTGAGATGGGTCGCAAAAATTAAAACTTGTTTTATGTGTACAATCAACTGTTAACATTTTTCCGCGACTATGGAAGGACCCTGTGCAATTTACCTTTACTAGGGAAGAAACAAAGAAATCGCATTGTCATGTGGTACGTGACGTAATCCGTTTCATATTTCATTGCTTCAGAACGAATTCTTAAGATTATCCTTTGCGTCTTTGAGTCTACTTCTTTATATATGTGTGTGTAACTTGTTGTGTAAAATGTAATAAAAATATTTTATATCTTTTACTGTACTGTAATTTTTGATGTGATTGTGCCAAACTAGAAAGATAAAAAGAAATTAATAAATAGAAAAATTTAAATGCTCAGTATTTATTTCTTAATTCAATAATGATGATAAATTAAAACATGGTATAAAATTATTGTAAAATTAATGACCAAAACTATTATGCGACTATGTAATCTATCTTTTTCTAGAAAGAAATAAATATGTATACAAAAGATTTTCATTTGTTTTATTACAAAATACCTACTTAGAAATTAAATTATGCACAGTTTATAATAGAACTTTGGATACTACAACTTCATACTTAGCCTAATAAATAAATTATGCAAAATATAGGAAAAACGTCAAGAAAAAAGTAATTGTATTATTTTATCAAAATAGAATGAAACACACAAAGTACACGGGACCTTTTCTAAGAAGACGAGATAAATAGGTACTTTTGATAAGCTCAGCTTAGGTACTTTTAATTCAGATTAAAACAAACTACTTCTTTTCCAGACCTTTTAATAATTGTATATATGTAGGTATATTGTATAAATTATATATCGTACTTAATAAACCCATTACATCTATTTGTACTCGAAGAATATTTGTATAATTTTCAATAAGTATTTAAGTAAACGTTGATTCTATACAAAACTCAAAACGTTTTTATCGTTTATTTGAGCAAACCGGGCTTTTATTGCTTTGCCGATAATGCCAGGCTCGTCCTTACACGTCATTCTTAATTCTACTTCATAATCTTTCTTTAAGTAACTTAAGTATTATCTAATATGCTTCAAGGGCCAGGATGCTATGCCAATATATGTAAGAGATTTACAAAACTAACTTTGCCTTAGCTTAAAAGCAAAAAATTACGAACTCAAAGTTTAATTATGTACTTTCTTCGCGATCACGGATAACGCAGTCAAGGTGGCAACATATGTACTATTCAAAGTCAACATAGTCCTAGAATAAAGAAGCATCGACGCGATAAAAAAAAGAAGGACTCGCCACCTTTCCTTAGTCCAAGTCAAAGTTACGTTTTATAGAAAATCTCAGCCTTAGTGTCGTTCCAGTCTCTTAATTCTGTCCGTCTTCGTTTAACTCCGATCCGGGTACATTCCACTTAAGCATGGTATCTTCTTTGGTATTACAAACATTTTTTTTTAATTAAAAAATAAGTGTGCATTTGACTCCCATCTCACCTGATGGAAAGTGACGATGAAGTCGACGATGGAGCATGCACACCTAAATAATGCCTATTCACTTTTAATAGTTCGATTCGGGGAGTCTAATGTCCTCATCAGATGAGAACGCATTTAGTGGAATGTGACCGATGCAATCTCATACGAGCAACCAGTAGAAACTGGTTCAAGTTTATTTGTATAAACCAAGGTATCTTTACCGGCTTGGTCAAAACTCTTTTGATACATCATGTATAAGTGATGTTAATTTATTATACAATGAATTGGGCGACATGGGACCTAACTAATGTGTGTAACTGTGAACGTAAACAATAGTGAATGTTAACAATGGTTATGTGTCCAAGTGAGTAAACAAATTATTTACTGGAAATATCTGTCATTGTTAATGTGCTAATGGTTTTTTACGCCAGTCGTATAACTTTGAGGTTAACTCACCAGATAATTCGATATTCAGTTAAGTAATATTAATAGTAATAAAATTACGCTGTTGCCAGTCAATGAATATAAATTGGGAAACATTACAGAAATATGATCCTTATCTAATTGTCAGAGATTGAAATAAGCAGAGTATACTTAGAGATAATACCTCCCTTTGAAATCCAGGACTAATGTATTGTATTTTGTTACTAGCAATTAATTTACAACGATAGTGTTGGTAAATTTAGTAAAAATACAATAATATAGTGTAACTTATTTTATTTTGATTGTTTGACTTTTAATGTTAAATATTCCGGGTTTCAGAAGGATGTATTATCGAGCATGTGTGTACTAAAAAGTTTAAGTACTTTGTCTGTTCCGATTGCTACTAGCTATAAATCAGCATGGGTTAAATAGCATATCGTCAACATTGATTCATTCAAAGCTCATCAGGGAAATAAAAATTCATTATTAAATATGTATCAGTATCAGATATGCATCTGCAGAGACAAACAGATTGAAGTTTGGTTTTTGTTTATTAACGGACACAGAATGCAGAGATTTTTAGGGTCGTATTCTAGAACTCTATTCAACGCTCAAGTCAGGATTGCACTGGCAACACAAGCACTGGAAATACGACCCTAATGGCAGGGACTTGAGTATGATTTCTAGTGCTTTGAATCATACTAAGTATATACATAAGTCCTGACTTAAGCATTGAGTAAAGTTCTAGAATACGACCCTCAGACTGTTATATTATACTCTATGAGAAATCGATGCTTTACGAAAGGCGTACGCCAAAGAGACAATGGTGGTCATTGTAAAGCCGAAACAATGGAGCCTACCGACAGGAAGGTGATGTGAATGACAGTATGATGAGCTCTCCACAGTGAAATTTACTAAAAACTGCTGATACAGCATAGGTGCTGGTGAAATTAATAATGATGGGCGCGGTAGCAGTACACTGCAACTGTTATGGATAGGCGTGTAGCTTACCACTAAGGGTTATAGGCGCAAGACTTATTCATCCTATCACTTAATATATTTTAAAAAGTCAATAACCGCTAATATCTAAATAGTGAAGAAATTTTGAAAATGTTTCGGTTCGATTATCACCCCCATTGTTCTTTAATGACGGTTGATCTTATAATACTGCCAAACTCATAACAAGAGCTGCAGATAGAAACCATTCATCATCCTCCGCCCGTACTCACTATGCGGCTATTACCGACTACCATTTCTTGTGCAATTTGGACAACTTAAAAAAGAAATATGTGTTTTTAACCTTATTCTATACGAAAAGGGGAACGGGGGACCTTTTTTTTTTTTTTTTCTTTTTTTTTTTCATTATCCGGGGGCAGAGCCGGGGTTATGTGGGACTGGGCTGAACCCTGAAGGGGAGCAGCCCGACCGCACTAAACCCCCGGAGTGTTCCTCCCCTCCGCTGTAGGTGGGGGTACGGGTACGCTGTTGCACTCGTCCGCGCCCCCACCAGCGGCTGGCCGCGCCCTGCGCAGCCCCTCCTCGAGAAGGGAGACACATCGGTCCCCCGACTCCGAATGTGAGGCTCGCCGAACACCAGACGAGCCTTCCATCCCGGGCCCCTTTATGCTGGGCAACGAACTCCCCCGAGTCCGCTACCCAGGGGCCATGGGGGGCCAGGACAGCATCCACTCAACTGTGAAGTTCAGTGGCTCCCCCAGCCCCCGCGGCGGATCTGATGACAGGCTCCGCCGCAACACCTAACGCGCTTCCGCGCGGACTCTCCGAAGAGAGTCCCTTGGAGCGCCCACCACGGCCGCGGAGGATAGGACGAGCGGCAACGACACTCCGACACGTCTCTTCCCCCGCGGCCCCGCCGCCACTGCATCATTAAAAGCGGTGCAGCCCCGCCAGGGTCGCGGAGGACAGGACGAGCGGCGACGACACACCGACACGTCTCTCCCCCCGCGACCCTCCTCCTCGCGCATCCGCGCGGTCCCGCTGGCCAAACGGGCCCCGCGCGGAACGCCCTCCTCCTCGGGCCAGCCTACCACCATCGGCCGGCCCCGTGGATTCCTCTTAGCTTCACCGTGGGATAAAATCGACCACGGCTACTAGAGCCCCCCCGCCACGACAAGGCGGGAACCCCTTCGGGGGGGGGTTGGGGGGGGGAACGGGGGACCTACCCCAACCTCCTAAAACAATATTACTTTAACTTAACTTTGTTAGTTTCGCCAAGCATATAGATGGCGCTGTTGTAATTTTACGAAATAAGAATCGCGTATTTTTATTTAACGAAAAATTATTTACTATGTGTTATTTAATAATAAAAAATAAACAAAATATTGAAGAGATATATGTAAATAAATAAGTTTAACTTAACTTTTAATCATTACAGCTATTTTAAGATTGCTAAATTTGACATAAGCAATATTACTTTAATGTTAAAGTCACATCATAGTACGAACTGAGTGAATGAATAGTCACAAACCTGCCAATAAAACATCGTAGTTTTAACATTACAATAAGCTTACTTTAAGCGCGTTATTGATCCGTAGTTTGCTGACACTATTGGACAATTCCGCCAGTAGAGGGTGCTATAGACGAGAGGCTTTGAGGGTGTGTGATCCTCATTAGTCTACTTTAATTTACTTTAATGTAGTTTTTAATACTTTTTTTTCGGTCCCTCAGCCCCTTATGAGCTCATCTTGACCTTCCTTCTTAATTATTTTCCTTTACTTAAAAGTACATGAGGTCACGAAGTCCTCAAAGTCAACTTATAAAACGCACTTCCTTCGTTTACTATTACACTTACCTTCCTCCCTTTATTACTCTTACTCTATCCCTTCTCCACTTCCACTTCACCACCACTATTCTTACTTTATTCTCTTTCCATTATCCTTCATCTTTAACTTTATACTTTAAAAAAATCCTGAATGATTTTTTTTTCTCCAGCCCCCCGGTTATTGTGACGGTGTGACCTCCTTAC